GTCAGATGTGAAAAAAAGTTTTTAACCTTATTGTTTTTTAGACTTAACGTTGATAAAATATGTAGAAAATAGATAATAACCCTAGTACTTTTTAGACTTAAACGGACATAGCTGTGAAAATAAAAGTTTTATAACCCTATTGTTTTTCAGACTTAACGTTAATAAATGTAGAAAATAGATAATAACTCTATTACTTTTTAGACTTAAACAAACAAGATTGTGAAAATAACTCATTTAATATTTATGTCTCATGCACCGCATGGGGTACGTACTAGTTATTAGTTATTAGTTAAAAAATTACATTTTTAAAAAAAAATTAAGGATCTTATTTATTAAAAAAAATAAGTAGGAAAACAGTAGAGATTTATAAGAATTTTTAGCCATTTTATTATTGAAAAACATTGATTTAAGTAATAATCTGCTGTTTTGTGAAAACGGATTTGATTGCTAACAAAAGATTGGCATTTCAAATTATTGCAAATATACATTATATATTGTTTGATTTGTTGCTTGTTTCCTACCTGCGAGGGGTCCGTGCTGCAAGCTATGGAGGAGGACATCTCCGACGAGGAGATCCTTGCGGCCCTACATAGTATGGGTCCTCTAAAAACACCGGGGTTGGATGGATTAAATGCGCTCTTCTTTCGGAAGAATTGGGACACCGTGGGCCCCTCGGTTCAAAATTTCATCCGGCCCATGTGGCGGGATGGTATGGTACCAAGAGAAGTGAATCGTACTTTACTAGTACTAATTCCTAAGATGGAGAATGCGAAAATCTTTACTCAATGTCATTTATAAAATCTTTACCAAAATCTTTACCAATGTCATTTATAAAATGTCATTTCCTCACCAAAATCCTATCAGTATACTCAATGTCATTTATAAAATCTTTACCAAAATCCTAGCGAATAGAATGGAAGGGTCGCTTCCTCACCTGATCCACCCTGCTCAAGCGAGCTTCGTCCCGGGAAGGCAGATAGTGGATAACATTGTGGTGGCGCAAGAACTAATTCATACTATGCGTTGCAAACGAGGCGGGACGGGGTATATGGTCTTTTTAGATAGTGTGCATTCTATATATGAATAAATAAAATATAAAATATCTATTAAAATATAAAAATAAAATTGATATCAAATGATATTTTTATTTATGTAAACTTACATAAGGAACAATATAGTATTATATTATTTTAAAACATGGATTTAAGTAATAATCCGAAAAATTGTGAAAACCGATTTGAGTGCAAACTAAAGAGTGTGATTAAAACGCGCATTTCGATTTATTGCAAATATATAATATATATGTTTTTTTGATTTGTTGCTTGGTTTGTAGATATATTGTTTTAACAACCAATGATATTTTGTAAATTTGGGAGTCTTAAGAAGTATTAAAATCTTAGTATAACTTTTATATTCGAAATATCATCTTATAAAAGGTTAGATTAGTCTATCAAATAAATATCATCTTATTAAAATCTTAGTATAACTTTTTTGATTAGTACTTATCAGTATGATTTTTTTCAAATCCTTATCTGATATGCATTCTAGATAAATATATTTGTAAGTTAGTATTTTGGATAGTTTGGATTCTATGAATCAATAAAATATAAAATATATCTAGCTTTGAAAATATGGCACATGTTTTAATAAATAGAAAATTTGTTATAGATAATTCAGTGCTGATTTCGAAACGCGTGAACAGATTTTAATTGCAACGCGTGAACATATTTTAATTGCGTGAACAATTTTTAATTGCGACACGTGTGAACCGAAAAAAAAAAAAATCTAGATTTAAGTCCGTGAATTATGCAATGCGTGAACAGATTCTCGGCTAAAAAGATTTTAAATCTGTGAATTATGCAATCAATTTGCGCCGTTTAAAAAAAAAAAAAAGAAAAAAAAAATATAACAAATTGTGAAAACTGAACAAAAATCTGATTTTTTAAACATGTTCCACAATTAATAAGCTAAACATTTGACTCATTTATTTTAGCTTTTCAAAAACGAATTTACCATCAACTTTATTAATATATATAGATATAGATATAGATATAGATATTGATTAATTTATTTTCCATATAAACGACCATCAAATACCAAACATAAATTTGCACTAATATATCGATAGATTATCATAGAATGACTATCAAATACCAAAAATAAATTTGCACTAACTTTATACCATATATCGATAACTTATCATAGAATGACTATCAATTACCAAAACTAAATTAATCCTTTTTATACATATATTGATTAATTTATTTCCTATAGAAAAGAACATCAAATATAAAAAATAAATTCACTCACTTTATACCACGTATTGATTGATTTATTTTCAGATATATTAAATATAATTTCTTTTGCGAAAAACAGTTATTGTTTTAAAAATAATCAAGCATTTATATATAGATATAGATGACCATCAACAATAATGAATAATGAACACGTTTATTACAATTGCACCAAAAATATATTACTAATGTTCCATATTCATAATATGACCATCAACAATAATAAACATGTTAGTCTCTATCACCCTATACGTTCCCCATTCGCAATGAAATAATTGTTTCTCAAATAATAAATTGGATACTAAAAAAAATTTTGTTTATAAATTTGGTGAGTAACTCTTTTTCTATTATCAATTAATTTTAAAATAAATTGTATATATGACCATTTAATTTTGAAATAAAAAATTATATATATATGACGCACACTTCCTTCCTTGAATTTGTAAGTCTATTTTAGTATCAAAACAGACCTATTAAATGGTAAAAAAGTAAAAATATAAGAAGGGACAAAAGTAAAAATAAGAATAAAGCACTGAACAGTCAATGCCACTTAATTAAATTAAATGGTAAAAAAGTCTTCATGTAATAAAACAAAAATGAATGATTAATTAAGGATGATATTATCCAAAATGCGTCCAAGCCAAACCGAATAATAATCATCATACCATACGATCAAATAAAAGCACCCCTAAGAGCTATAATGCCCTCTACTTTATTAAACAAAAGGAAGAGCATCAATCCATAGGAGATAGAAAATTTATACATATATAATAACAAATAATGTAAGAAAATGAAAACAATCTTAATTTTATTGTAATAACTTGTTAACAATTAATAATAGTGCATACCTATAGATATAATTGTACATGGTCTTTGGAAGTGTAGTAAGAAAACGAAACAAAAATCAAAGTCGAGACACATAATAATTAAATTATCCTTAAGACGAATTGCCCTGTAAAATACTCACGGTTAACGACAAACGCCTTCAAGAAACAACGACGTTCAACTTGTATATTGTGGTACTTCAAATACACAAGCCTTCGGCGAACACTACTACTGTTTGGAACTCTCAAGACTCAATGAAATCAACGAACACAATATATTTTATGATCTTTGAAGTAATGCAAGAGCTCTCTAATTTTCAAGTTATGAATGGTTTCGTGTATGTGGGTATTTATAGATGTAGGAAAACACATCCAAGAGGTTTAAGTGTCAAAAGACACCTTCTGAGATGTACCCGAACAAAAACGGATGCATCTAAAGACTAAAAGACACTTTCAGTGTCCACAGCCAGCTGCGCGCCCGTGCGCCGTGGGCTCGTACGAGCTCATACGGACTCGGAATTGAGTTTTGTTTTTTCTTACTCGTCCCCAACGAACTCTTCTACAGTTATAGCATGCAAGCTGCATGATCAGGTCTCGTTTGGATTATCCTAACATGTCAAAGACAGAATATTTTACGAATCCAATAATATGAGTTACTTAAACTCATTGCTCTACTCTTACATTATCCACATATACAACTTAGAATTATGTGCCTATTTATCACCCAAGGTCCTCCGACCCTTTTCCTTCAAAAAAATAAAAAACTCCATATTCCCGCGAGTCATCGAAAAATTCTATTTAAATTCGCTCTCTAGCAATGGAATTTCATCATCCGTACATAACGGAGTTTCTCATTCACCTTTAAAATGGATTTGAGAATTTCCTAAGTCTTTCACTTACAAAAATAGAACAGTAAACGGTAAAAAATCAATTTTTCTTACAGGAAGTGCTTACATGTTTCGGAGGTGTGTGAATTAAGTTCAGAAAAATTATGTTCAAGTTTTGTGTAAGTGAGCTTTTGATGTAAATTTGAGTCGACATTTCAAAGGATTTTTACTGGAATAAAATTAATGTGATTCTTTTGTTGGTACATTCACTATAAAAAACACGCTTACATTCAAACGGAAAATTTTCGTTGGAATTCTTTATATTTTCCGTTGGAATAACTATTCTAACGGATATTTCTACGTATAAAAATTCGTGGGAAAACGGCCATTGGAATAGTTAAAATCCAACGGAAAATCCTATGAAAATAAATTCCTGCAGTTATTCCAACGGAAAAAATCCGTTGGAATTCCTCTACCATGCATCTTGTAGTGATTTTGTATTCCTCATCCCATGCTATAATAATAACTTCAACAAAATGAAACTTGTCTTAGACTTATTATTTTACATATTGTATCATTTTTTAAATCAGAAACCACTAAAAGCATGTTTGGTAGACACTGTAAGTTTGTTTATAATTTATTTGATTAGCTTATAAGATTTATGACGTACCAAAATCGTAACTAAAGTGATGAAACAAGAGAATAATTTTCAAATATCTTTATTAATCAAATTCAATATTTAAAACACAAGAAAATATGAGTCTTTATCTTTATTAATCAAATTTAATATTTAAAACACAAGAAAATATGAGTCTTTAAATTGAACTCCTAAAAAGCCATAATCTTGTCTAACAAATAAAAGATAATTAAATATCTTTCCTATCAAATAAAAGACTAGATTTTTTTTTTTTT